GTCGATAGAGATAGAGATAGAGATATATATTTCCACTAAAGCTTTTGATCCACGTATCAAGTCTCTAGAATTAAGTCAATATTTACTAAAGACTTAACATGCAAAAATTGATATTTAATTACATATAAAAGAGTTAATAATGAAAAATTATCAAAAAAAATCAGGTTAAAAATAAGGACCATTAACACTGATACGCAAATGTTGTAGTAACTGGGTGGCCCCCTCACACACACAGTGTTGGGAATCCATGCATGGAGTCACACAAGACAGGATCTGAGAGCTTTATCTAATCTCCTTGATCAGGTAACATCTTTCTTCCAGAAAGGCATCAGCTACTTTAAACTTATCTTTCAAGAAAGGATATCTTCAGTCTAAAAATCTCAAGTATAATCTGAAATATAATATCTAGAAAAGGCCTTGGAATTACCACATTTTCTCAACAATGTAAACAGTAAGTCACAGAACTTAACAGAAGCTCTGTGGCCAGGCAGGATCGTCCCTCAGTATAGCCTCAAACAAAAAACTTTCTCTGAAGTTGGTACATGGGATTTGGACTTACATCCTCCAAAACAAGATATGGATAACAGCGTAAGAGACCAGTAGAAGTGTGTGGTACAAGGTATCACAGAAGTGAATGGTAATCATATTAAGACATGGCTGGGGAGGGGAGGGTTTGACAAGCTAGCAGACTGTGCAAGGAATGGGGATGTACTAGGGAAAGGGTGGAGAGATGTCACATGTGCTTGGAGAGGGGCACTGAATGTATTGGTTATTGGTTATTTCTGTAAGGTAATTGTTTTTCACCTGTTTGGTATAAATGCTTGTCTGTTAGATATTTTTCTAACACTGAGCATCCAAATTAGGACAGACTAGGAAGAAGGATTGGCCATCCACTTCTGAAATACAACTGGCCTTTGAAAACCTTATGTACAGTAGAGCACACTTAGAGTAGAATAACAGATATGGCAACTTAAGTTGAGCCCTCAAATTTGGAAACACAAAAGAGGAGAAACAATTGTAAGAAGAAATTAACAATTGGTAGGTAGAAAGTGAGAAGTATGAAGGTAGGAAAACTGCACATTGTAAAGAAAGAAGTGCAATGCATTAACTATTGACATATTGCATATTGGATATTAGTGATATAAGGTGGACTGGCATGGGAAATTTTGAATCCCATGATCATATGATCTATTAGACTGGATACAAAAAGGTAAGAAAAAAAATGGGATCACTTTCATAGTTAAAAAGGCCATTTATAGATCCATCTTGAAATACAACATTGTGAGTGACAGGATAATATACACATGCAAGAAAGATCTGTTAATACTACTATCATTCAAATTTATGCACCTACAACCAGAGCCAAAGAGGAGGAAATAGATGGTTTCTATCAAATGATGCATTCAGAAACTGAACATGTAACCAAGATAAATTAATAATAATAGGTGACTAGAAGGCAAAAGATGGGAACCAGGAAGAAAGATCAGTAGTTGGAAAATATGGAATTGGTGACAGAAATGAGGCTAGGGATAGAATGATATAATTCTGTACAATCAATAATTTATTTATTAATTGCAAATACCTTTTACAAGAAACATGAATACAAGTTAGACACATGGGTTTCACCTAAAGGAATGTAAAGGAATCAGATTGATTACATCTGTGGAAGGAACCGTTGGAGAAGTTTAATATCAGCAGTGAAAATTGGGCCAGGTGCTGATTGTGGAACAGACCATCAACTGTACACATACAGGTTCAAATTAAAGTTAAAGAAGGTTAAATTATATCCACAGGAATTGAAATTTTATCTTGAGTCTATATCCCATAAATTTAAAAACAAATTCGGGAATAGGTTTGAGGCCTTGAACACTAATGAACAAAGAGATGAATGAATGAATGAATGAATGAAGATGAGCTGTGGGAAGATATCAAGAATATTGTTAATGAAGAATGCAAAAAGTCATTACAAAGAAGGAAGAAGAAGAAAAGACCAAAATGGCTGTCAGAAGAGACTCTGAATACTACACTAGAGTGCCAAGAAGCCAAAGCAAAGGGAGGAAATCAAGAAGTTAAGGAGCTGAATAGAAAATTTCAAAGGGTTATTAGGGAAGACAAGGCAATATATTATAATGAAATGTGCAAGGAGCTGGAGTCGGAAAATCAAAAGGGCCAAACTCTCAGCATTTCTTAAGCTGAAAGAACTAAAATATAAATCCAAGCCACAAGTTACAATGCATAAGGATGCTATGGGTAGAATATTGACTGATTCAGGAGGTATATTCATTCTTAGAGTAGGCATTAAATTTAATAAGGAATCACAAAGGCCAAATTCTGATAATAGTAAGGAAAAAGTTGTGATAGGTAATGATTAGAAAAATACATACATATATATTCAAAACACACATATAAATGAAAGTGTTTTAACAACATAGAAAATAATAATTACTATAGTTAAATATATTTTAAAATAGACCTGCACATTTATAATATTTTATCTAATTTTTATGGTATTTTTTTCATAAAAAGCTATAAAAATAAAAAAGCTGGAGGATGGGCATTGGTATAATAATTGTATTTTCAGAATAAATGATTACAAAATAAAAGATAGAGTTATAAGCAAATGAAAATAAACTATGAACAAAGAATAATGATTAATTTAATACTATGACTATAAATTCTAACAGGGAAAAAGGAAGGAGGGAGGGAAACTCACATAAGTGTTTTGGGACAACTGAATAATATATCAAAGAAGTCAAAGTTGTTGTTGTTGTTATGTACCAGAGAGTCAAAATTGACTCATAGCTGACTGTGAAAGAAGCCAATGTAACATAAGGATAGCAGTGCCTGAGTCTGATTTCTACCCACTTCATAAAGACGAACTTTCCCCATCAATAATATCCATAGCAGTGTACAGATAGCTGCTAGGTCACATACATCATCCCCCACAATTCTTCACCTATTTCTGCCAATCATATAGGTTCAATATTCCTTGTTGATTCACAGACTTTACTCACAGTTGTGGTACCAAGATTAGAGTTTATTATGGAAATAAGTTGGAGAGAAAGCTTACCATGCAAGTTCAGCTTTAGTTCAATAGCCTCAAGCTAGATTAACAGAAAAACACAATTCCTTCATTAGTAAAAGTCCTCGTTTCAGTTCATCAACACAATTTTAAAAGCCTCTGATTTCTTCCATCATTCATCAAGATTTGCCCCAGAACAATCATAAGTCACCTTTTCCTTAAAGCATTGGGCAAACAAAATATTTAATTGTGGCCAGCACAAACACAAGAAGCCTCAGGTTACACCTTGCCAGAGTATATCAACAGCAATGCCACAGTCTCTCCCCCAATCATCACCAGGGTCTTCTTCCAGTCTTCCTCAAGTCCTCAAGTCCTCAAGTCTTCAAGTCTTGATGGACAGTGTGGAAAGATTTCTCTCTCTCTCTCTCTCTCTCTCTCTCTCTCTCTCTCTCTCTCTTTCTAGTCATAGAACTGTTGATTATCTGCAGGACCATTTGTCTATAGTTAATTTAGCTGCAGATCAAAGGAGGTTAACATAAAGGTTAGAAAAACCTAATTTTAAACTAACACCACATTGACTTTCCAGTCGGTTTTCCAAGTTTATAAATCACACTGGAGAAGACATGAGATCCTTCTCCAACATAGAAGCTGGTAGATTTAAACTGCATGGCTTTGGTTTGGCAACACAATTCTTTACCACTAAACCAAAAGGAGGGTTATTAAAAATACAGTGATGTGTGTCTTAAATAAATATAAATATAATTGAAGATTGTATTGTGAAATATGGAATGATATTTATTGAAGTGAAATGCTAGATTTATTATTTTAAATAAAAATATAATAGTTTTGTATAAGAATGTCTATTAATATTTTTTCCAGTACATAAGAATTAGACAAAAATATTAGCAGCAATTTTACTAAAAAGCAAAATTTATTTACAGGTATGTTCACAATTAATGGGATAATTACAGTGTCTAAGTCCATGGCCACAATGACTATTTAATTAAGTGAATAAGCTAGATATAGGGGAAAAAGTAGAGTTAACAGTTACTTTTGATTTGTTTCATTTTCTTGTAAATTCATTTTTATCTACTGAAGACCTTATTGGTGTTGTGTATCCTCCAGATGGAAATGACTCATAACTGAACCTATGGTGGGTTTTCAGACACAGTGATTTGCATAAAAGGAGAATGTCCCTCTTTCTAAGTGTAGTAGCTGGTGATTTTGAACTGTGATCCTTTGGGATTACGGTATAACTTATCACTAGGCTCCCTTAAGTTATCTATAATTGTATTGTAAAAATTTGTTCTCATTCATATTAAAGTTCTAAAGACAAGAAAATATATAGGTATATATACATTAATAAAAATAAATAAGTAGATAATAGAAGATCAAGACGTAGACATGGACATGGACTTGGACAAGGACATGGACACATGGGCATAGACGTAAGTATAGATTTGCTAGATGGAAAAATGATTGAAGTTGTCAATTATTTCGTTTTACTTAGACCTACAGTAAACCTCCACAGTAATGGCACTTAAGAAATCAAAAGACATTGCAGTGGGAAAAAATCTACTGACAACAACTTATCTAATGTGCCAGTGAAAAAATTACATCAATTTACAAGCTAAAGTATGCCTGATCCAAGTCATAATATTTTCAGTTCTTCCTAAACATCTTAAAGGTGAACAACAAAAAGAAGGATAATAGGCCCTCGCCTAGTGCCCCCGCCCGGCGTGCCCGGGACCCGCGCGGTGCGGGCATGCCCAGTGCGGGCGCAGCTGCCCCGGCGTGGGAGCGCCGAGCCGAGAGGGCC